CTACTGCTGCTACTCCTACTGCTGCTGCTCCTGCTCCTGCTCCTGCTCCTGCTGCTGTTCCTGCTACTGCTACTGCTACCTTGCTACTGCCGCTACTAAATTACTACTTACTGCTAGTCCCGGGTCCCATGCTGACGACTGCCTACTACGCTTCTCCATGCACCCATCCTCCCAAGCTCTCCGCTACTAACCAACCTAAGCAGCAAATCTCCTTGCCACTGATGCTAGTTTGTTGCAGTTAATCTACGACATCTATCAGCCAACCCAGGCCCAAAGAATCAACAAAAAGCTCGGAAACTTGAACCAACTCGAGCAGGCAGCATAGAGATTAACATTGAAAGCTTCAGGCAAGTCATTCACATACAGCTTCAAATCCGTGAAGTCTGCGCAACGCGGGAGCGGTAGATCTGACATCAAGCCCGCCAGCGCTGGCTTCATGAAGATCGCCGTAATGAGTCTCATGGTGGACTGTGCCACGTGGCACGCCCTCTGCAGGTTGGCAGCCGGCAAGGCTCCGCGCTCTGCTCTGACCACATGCTGTCGCCATGGCGCTGATATGAGGCACTAACCAATTTAATTAACCGGAATGCATAGGCCTTCGCAGCAACCAGCAGTACATCTGTGAAGCCAAGAAGAGGTTCGATGAAGGCCTTGTGTTTTCAGGGCAGTTCAGGGGCCTGCACGGCACAGATATCCAAAAATCTGATTTTGCTGCAGACACGTGCGTGCCTGGTTACTGCATCTGCCCGGAATCATAACCGAAGCTACTTTTGTCATCACCTACGCAGAGGAAAGGCTCAGCAAGTGAAGCTTCTCGTGAAGGCACAATGTGAAGTCGTGTGCGTTACTGCTTGGCTATAGCTCCTTCGACTTCGCTCTCCTGTCACACTCCAGACCCCCAAGACAAAAAATACTTCCCAGTTTGCGCAGGCCATCAGGGTTGCCTGGCGTCCCACAATGCTTGTCATGCTTTTGCTCAACATGCACTGCCAACTGTGAGACAGGGTTGATGCTTGACCTGACAACAAACACCATGAGAGCGATGTCAAGTTGATGGCAGAGCTACACTGGAGTTGCGTTCCCTGATTTCTACTCTTTCTGAGATTGTGGAAAGGACCTAAACAGTAGACTCTGACACCACTCCTTCGACCCCGGTCGGAGCATACTAGACGGGACAAATAGGCTTCAGACACTGGAAACTGGACACAAGCTTGCAGATCCACTCCGGACTAGCTGTGAACTGGTGCTCGGCACCAGTCTGTCTGAACCAAGGACAGCAGCAGCTACTCAGCTGTTGAGGGACTTTCGTTTGATGGAAAGAGTGGGCTTCACCCGCAAGCTCCAGTTTGCGGGGTCTGGCCGCAGGTCGTAGCCTTTCCCCTGGCGCTTCCGGGCTGCACCCCATTCCAAGTACCACGACCCAACCCCGGCAACGTGCTTCAACGATGCCCCGAAGCTTGTGTGGCGGCTCTTGACCAACTCCCACGTTCTTGCTCCATGACCATAACAACCATGTCGTGGGTATGTGCCCTTGATCAAGCCCCGAACCACCAGCTTGTCTGAAACCAAGATATGGCCTTGCAAGTGGATCTGAGACAAGTATTGGATATAAAAGGAAGAGTCCCACCAGCACGCATCCACATCATCCAACGATGTGTCCAATGGCAGAAGGGCATCAGCTAACTCCCGGTGGTAGGCAACGAAAAAGGAATCATAACACCAAACTCCAACCGGCCGACCTTTGTAGCGCCGCGCATCCAACACAAAATTATATGCGGGTATCATGATCGCTGGCTCCCATTGCAACATCTCGGCATGCCAGGCATTGAAGGACCCTTGCAAGATAGATACATCGTCATCTGCGAAGACAAGATAACCAAATCGGAAGCCAAGAATCAATTCTTCGCGGCATGCTTCCAGCAGCAGCATATTGCGCCCTTCCGCATACGTGGAATCTGGAACAAACAAGATGCCCTTTTGCGGCGTCTTAAATGTCAACTGGATCATGTGCACGTATTCATCTAGCAGCAATTCTTTCAATAGATTAGGGCTCCTGAGTATTCCATCTGAACTCTGAATGCAATAAGCAAGGTGCTCCTTCCGAACCTCCAGCTTCATGGACCAAGAGCAAAACGAATCATTTCCCACAGCCAGCAAAGACGGGGTTAATAGCCACAAAAAGCACAGCGAGCTCGCGGACCTTTCCCGGCGCCACATTTGCCACATGGCTTTGCAACCGCTGCAGCGCTTGGAAAACCCGTCTGGATGAATCAAACCCGCAAGTTAACGTGTGCAAGCATGCGGGAGCTTCGGCATGCTGTCAAAATTTAAATATCCCATAAAATTAGAAGCCAAAAACGTGGAACATCATTATCCTCATGCACGCATGGACAAATAAAGGAAATTCACACAAATCATCTTAAATCCATGTTCCAACTTCTGGGTTTCACTATGAGTTGCAATACATACTAGCAGACGACCATTAAGATAAAGAAACCATGTTCGCATGGATGACGATTTGCTACACATCCAAGAGCGGCGAGACGTTTATAGCTCCGGTGTTCTGTTTCCGCACTGGACTGTATCATGTATGTGGTACGATTCGGTATACTTTGGCTATATGTATTACACTTACACTTACACTTACACAATCAGATTCATTAGACCATTAAATACAGTGTTGACTTCGATAAATGCTCGAAACCAGTAAAACTGAAATTGCTCTTTGGAGTTCACTTGCCCATGCTGAGTATCTTTGAATCTCAAGCTTCACGCATCCGACTGCTCAAACGGCTCGTCTTCACCCTCCGCAGAAGAAGTGGAAAGGACGGACCAATGTTTCAATGAGCTTTGCAAGCTTAGATTTGCTGGCTTTACTCACCCCAGCCAGCAGGCTTCGCACAGGAATTATTGATTTGTACTTTTGACATCTCTGTTTGATATGTTGCTGAAGCTCATGTGTGAGCGAAGCTCACATGAACTGTGATGGCGTGTAAAGCTCTAGCTGTACCCGATGATACAAGCAAAACAACCTGCACACTTCGTTGTCTTGGTCACGGCGCGTGCGCCTTGCGTGGATGGGGCTGGTCCCACCCTTCGGTGATTGAACCGGAAGATTGCCAAGACACTGTCCAGTGTACATTGAATGCAAGTCTTTTCCACATCATGAGTAGCAGTGTGTACAAAGGGTCGCTGGGATGCATTGCTGTCTTGCACCCCGCCTCGCATAACCACTGCTGTAGTAGTAGTCAGGCGTCCAACTAAATCCATACACTGATTGGAAGCAATGCCCACACGGAGTGTATCTTGACATTTGTTCGAAAGTGGCACCTTTCACCTCTGCTCGTTGCCACCTTGAACGCTGTGCAGTGTGGAGCACTGCGCTCGTCTCATGTCGCGAGCCTGCCACGCCAACTCCTTAGCAAGCCCCCTCTTCACGCCTCGACTTCAGCTGGTCCCCCCCCAAGAAGGCAAACAACAACAACCCAGGGAATCCAGGTTTGGAACCTGGGTTTAACCTGGATTTGAAGCTGGATTCTTTTTTTGCGCGGACTTTTTCCAGAGGGCGAGTCTTGTTGCGCAATGACTTTGCGAAGAAACTCGCAAACCATAAAGATGCCAGGACTCTGCAGAAGCCCACCCTTGCGTTCAAAGCTTTAAGGCCAAGTTTCCGCTTCCCAGGTTGACATTGGTGGCAAGCCCAGACTTTGTAGGAAGCGCGTCGGGGCCAATGTGGGTTACGGCCATACACAATCGCCTGAATGGATTACATGCGCAACACTTCCTGGCCAGCAAACCGTGTTCCGTGGGGGCATGCTCCATCATAGTTCGGCAAGGGGGGCTTGAAAAGGGGGGGCTTCTCAAAGGGGCTTCAAGGGGGCTTCTCAAAGGGGCTTGAAGGGGGGCTTGAATGAAAAACTCAATGGACGTTTCCGAGCTCCTTTGGAATGCACAATGCAAGCAACACTCAAATGCTCAAGCACAGATGCAATCAGCTTCAGAATGCAATCACTCGCACAAGGATCTTTTCAGAGCGACTTGAGCCAATGTGCAATGACCACTTTTGTTCGGCACAAATGCGCGAAGGTCAGAATCATGCGCCTGTACAATGCACCATCATCCAGCAAATGCGTCGGTACGTGCAATGTCAGCTTCACAATCTTCTGCAGAAAACGTGATGTCAATCCACCCAAAACTTTGGCCTCTCTCTGGGGAGAGTGTTCCAGCTCCATGCTATGTGTTGGCTACAGGCCTAAGTTCGAGACATAGAGCAGAATTCGGTACTTTCGAGCACTGTCGATTCGCGGGCCTACGGCCCGCAGCTCGAGCGATCTTAAGGGCTCTAAAGTGTTTGCAAAACTGGATTTAGAAGGGCTTTAAGGGGCGCGATACCCGCGAGCAGCTGACGAGTGGCTTGCAAGCAGCTGACGAGCTACACACCAGCAGCTTACGAGCGACATACCAGCAGCTCACGGCAGCTTACGAGCTACATACCAGCAGCTCACCCCCAACCAGCTACAAACCGACAACTTACGAGCTACAAACCAGCAACTTACGAGTTACAAACCGGCAGCTTACAAGCTACAAACCAGCAGCGTACCAACAGCTCACCTACGAGCTTACTAGCAGCATCGGCAGCGAGCTGCTTGCAGCTACTTACAAGCAGCTCTGAAGCTCTTTTCGCCAACAGACACACGCTTTCAAACAGCTCTGGAGCACAACTGCGCGCAACCAAACAACTTGCAAGCTCTCCGCGCACGCTGCAAAGAGAAGTACTCAACGCCGATATGCGTTTTCAGTGGATCTTTTGGCGAGACAGCAAGCTTTACCAAATTTGCTTGGAGCTACTTTAATGTCTGCTTGAGGACCTAAGACTAAAAGTGACAAAGTAGTTTCTCATTAGAGCCGGAAACAGCAGGTGTTGGATTTGCAAGAACTCTAACGGCCAAAAAAAGGCCGACTGGTGCCAGTTGAGTCTCAATGTGGGGATACCGCTTTAAATTGGAAAATCATGAGACCTGTGGCAACTCACACTCACAATCCACCTGCACCGGCACATGACACTTCTGAACCGTTGTATCCAGGACTGAGAAGCGCTGTAATGCAATGCAGACGTGTGTTTTAAACTCATGTATGCAGGCAACGCATTCTGTTTTTTTCCACACACGCGATGGTGCACGATGCAATCGCTTCATTCAGGCACTTGCGTCTCTGGCAGGCTTGTGCTGGTACCAGTGCAAATAAAGATAAAGTTCATCACGTACTTGGCTTGATGTCATGGAGGCAGGCGATTTATAGGGTGGAGTTGGCCAAACATGCAACACGATGCGAATGAGTGGCTCTTGCATTTGCTACGAGGTCTGATGCTCTATGGGTCAGCCGATAGCAAGTGGGTGCATAGCTTGGCAACCGCTTTGAAGTGGAGGATGCAGCATTATCTTCATGCCAATCTCAGGTGACGGCATCGGTGGAGGATGCACTCTTTAAGAGTGCGTCACAAAGTGGCAACCATGAGTCTCTTCATTACCTGCAGTCAACCAATCTGGATGAGAGCCATTTGTCTGCTGCAAGGGCAGAGTAAAGGCGAGGGCAAGGGAAAAGAAAAGGCAAGGCGAAGGAGGCGGCCAAGATGCCGAGGTTTGGACTTGGTGGAAGAAGATCAGACCGAGAATTCCGAGACCAGCTGAACCAGGCTATCAATTGCTGCTTCGCCCGGAGAATCTCAACGAGGTTCCAGTCCATGCGGAGGCTGACTTCGGATTCTCAGTGGCTTTCGAGGTGGCAGTGGGCTTGAGGTCGGAGGCGGAGCCACTTCATCGTCTTTTTTGCGAGTGACCGACTGAGTCAAGCGGAACTTTCGTTCTAGATTGGGGGTTTGTCCTTTTGGCTGCTTCCACCAGGGTCTTAGCCGCCTTCAATCTCTTTGAAAGAGTGGAAGCAGAGCTCCCACAGTCTACCTTTAGCAGACAGCAGTGTTCTTGTGTGCACAGCTTGCCACTGAAGACAAAGTGAAAGCTAAGAAGCTGAGTGCTCGTGAGTGTAGCCTTTGTAGCAGCGGACCATGCAGACACACGTGCCGATGGCAGAATGTACGCGGTACAGTTGCGTACAGTCACAAGTTGCTTTACGTAGCTTTTGTGACCGGGTCCAAATGGACTTGTTCTT